TATTTTAAATTTCTCTTCTATGACCATGATTTGTAGATTTAATCTTTTTTGAAAGTAATATTTTTTTTGTCTTTTTTGAGACAGGGTCTCCTTGTAGCCCCAGCTGTCCTGGAACTCACTATGTAGATCAAGCTGGCCTCAAACTCACAAAGATCCACCTGCCTCTGCCTCCCAAGTGCTGGGATTAAAAGTGTGTGCTACCACACCCGGCTCTGAAAGTAATATTTTTATTTATTATTTGAGAATTCTATACAATGTAGTTTGGTCGTATTCAGACCCCTCCCCTATCACCTCTCAGAATCACCACACCTTCTTAACCCCTCACTTCATATCCTCTATTTTTTTTAAGGCTTATTGAGTCTAATGTGTGTTTCCCAAGTTCTCTTGGGTGTGGATCCATTCCCTGGTGTTTAGTCAACCTACCTGGCATCACACCTTTAAAGAAAACTGTTTCTCTCTCCCAGAAGCTTCAATTGCCAATAGTTCCTCAGTCAGGGTTGGGTCTTCTTGCCCATGTTCCCCCTCCTTGCTGGGGTTTTGGCTGACTTGGACTTGTCCAGGTCTTGTGCATGTTGTCATGAGACAACATGAGATGTGAGTTCACCTGTGTAGTTGCCCTGTTGTGACAGGAAAATACAACTTCCTTATATTTATTTATCACCTCTGACTCTTACAATCTTTCCACCCCTTATTCCACAATGATCCCCAAGTCTTTGGAGGAAGGGTATGATATAAGTGTCCCATTTAGGGCTGAGCACTTCTTAGTCTCTTACTTTCTACATGGTGACCAGTGTGGGTCTCTGTATGAGAGGTGAGAGATGCATTGATCTATGGATATAAAAATAAATTATTTGGAGTTGGTTTAATACTATGTCCACTTAGCAGGATAATAGTAGTATGTTCTCCCCTATGGCCTGTTACCTGTCTAGTCACAGGTTCATAGCCCTGGTAAAAGTGCATCTTTTGAAGTGGTTGCATCTTGTGAAGTGGGCCTTCAAACCTATCATAAATTGGCTGGTTACTCCCATAACATTTGTGCTGCTGTTGTACCAGTGGATATATCTTGCCAGTCCAGTGGCTTTTGTAGCTCACAGGGATCACATCTGGGTAAGGTTGATGATTACTTTTTTCTTCAAGTGGCATGCATAGCACCTTTCAGTACTATGAAAGATAGCCAGTACGGATGAAACTTTGAGGTGAGTTCCAGCTTGAGTTTTCCATGCTCGTTCTATGACTAGCATATGTAGTGTCTTCAGTAATAGGAATCTTACCATCAAGTTCTGGAGGGCAACCAAGAGCAAATGTAGGTTTGGCCTTTTAACGATGCTCCATAGATCTCAAATATGCTCTTTGTAGTTTCTTATTATTTTCCTTGTCATTGCCTGAATGTTCCAATTCACCTATGTTGTCATCTGATCTTGATATTCTGTCTTCCATTTGATCTATTCTGTTGGTGAGATTTTCCACTGAATTTTTTATTTTACTTGCTGAACTTTTCATTTTTCAGTGTTTCTGTATGGTTTTATTCAGTATTTCTTTTTATTAAACACTTTTTTTCATAACCTTTGTTGACTTTCTTATTTTCTTCAGCTGTCTGCTTGTGCTCTCTTTGAATTAATTCAAGAGTTTATTCATGGCCTCTTTAATTTTGTTGAAAACTCTTATAATTATTCTCTTGAATTCTTTGGGGGTTCATTTGACTAACTCTCATTGATATGTATTACTGTAGAATTAGTAATTTTTGGAAGAGCTTTGTTGCCTTGATTTTTACATTGGTACATCCAAATTTGGGATTAGGCTGTTGTTGGACTATTTTAATCACTCCTATTCTTTCAGTGAAAGTATTTGTAATATCCAAGTGGGAAAAGACCAGGGGGTTGAGATGCCATTTCTTCCCATTGATCTCAGTAATTAAGCCCTCAGCTTGCATACTCATGGCACCAGGTTCAATCTCCAGCACCACTCCAAGAATAGAATACTTAATTTCAGAAGAGACCAAAACCAAAGGACCACTCAGAAATACAGTAATAGCCAATTAAAAGCAATCACCCCTTTAACTTTAATACTTTTGGGTTAGTAAAATTACTATGAAAACACAGTTATAGCCAATTAAAAACATTTAAAAACAATCACCTTTTTAACTTCAGTAATTTTGGGTGAGTAAAGGAATAAGGATGGTATGCTGTGCACTGGGGTATTAGTTATTAAAGATAGGAATATAAGGGAAATAAGAGGAATAGGAGTAGTGTTTGGTATTAGAGCAACAGAGGGAAAAAAGAGAGAGAAGGAAATGGAAGAGACAGGAGAAAGCAGAAGGCAGGAGATAAGCAGCCCTAACTAAAGACAGAATGAAAAGAGAAAGAGGCAAAGAAACGCAATGTGACAACCTAAAACAATCCCAGCATTTGGGTGGCTAAGGCACAGAGACCACTGTCCCAGGCCAACCTGTGTTCTTTGGGAAAATTTACCCAATAAGAACAATATCAACAATAAAGGGAGAAAGAGAACAGGGCAGAATAAATCTGGTTCACTAAATTGAATTAGTTATTTTATTATTTATATAAAATATAAAAGCAACGGAAAGAGAATTGGGTGGGGATAGAGTCTGTGTGTGGGTCCCCACATGGATGTAGGTGCTCAGCTTGTCTCTGTGGTTCCCCATGTGGCATGGGTGCTGAGCCTGTCTCTGTGTGTTCATTCCAGTCTGTATTTTATACCAGATTTACACCTCATGGAACACCATGCAGTTCTGTCTCAAAGTTTTCCCCTTAGTTGTGTTCTGCAGGTTGGGTCTCCCTGAGTTCCTAGAGAGTGTGTTGGGAGGGACCTTTGCCTCTCAAACTGCCTAGCTGCTGACTCAGTGGGGGCCTCTTAATTTAATTTATTAATGTTTATTATTACTTTATATTAATTATACATAACACACTTTATTGTGAAATTTTCACACATGCATACAGTGTATTTTGATTATGCTCAGTCCCTCATTACCTTCTTAGGTAGCTTCTTGTCACTGCTCTGGTCAAGAGTGGGAAAGAGAGGATTTTCCAGTACTCCCCCTCCCTCCCTCCACCAGTGCAGCTGCCTCCAGTGTGGCTTTATCTACCTTTCTTACTGCTGTTAATATGCTCTGTTACTGAAAATATAGTGTGACTTTTATGAGGCGGTCTCTTTGTCTTAAGCCGTGGTTCCAAACCTCTGCTGTTGCATTCATTTTCCCTGGGAGGAGAGGACACCCTAGTTGGGGCTGAGCACCCTAGCATGTGCTCTGGATTTTTTTCCTGTTCTGTCTACAGTTTCCTTCCTTTCCTTGCTACTTAGGCTGGGGTTTTTCCTGCTGTCATCCTTCCATTAGTATAGCTGCTGTCCAATTATCCTTGTTTTTTTTCCAGGAGAGTCTAACAGTCCATGTGTCCTAGTTTCTTTTCTGTTGCTGTGATAAAACCAATTTAGGGAAGAGGTTTATTTCACCTTACAATTTCAGGCTACAGTTCATCATTGTGGGGAAGTCAATGTAGGAACTTCAAACAGCTAATTATATTATACCAGTAGTCAAGAACAGAGAAATAAATGCATACATGCTTGCTTGCTTGTGTTTAGCACTATTTCTCCACCCTTTTTTCTTTCTTTTTTTTTTCTTTTCGAGTCAGGGTCTCACTATGTAGCCCTGGCTACCCTGACACTTGATATGATATGTAGACCAGACTGGCCTCAAACACAGAGGTCTGCCCAACTCTGCCTTACAAATGCTGGAATTAAAGGCGTATACCACCATGCCCAGCTATTTCTTCACCCTTATGCAGTTTGCGAACCCTGGCCTAGGGAATGGTACTGTCCATAGTGGGTTGGGTCTTCCCATGTCAATTAACTTAGTTAAGACCCCCCCCACACACACAGATATGTCCACAGGCCAACCCAGTGTCCAACCCAGTCCCTCATTGAGACTCTCTTCCCAGAAGATTCTAGGTCGTGTCAAGTTGACAAAACTGACTACCACGTAATGCATAGATAGTGTCACCTGCCAACTTCCCCAATGTGCTTTTCATATAGAAGTCATTCATTATTTTTACATTAACCAATTCACAGATAGTTATCCCACACTTAACTATATGCTGGGTTTGTTCTAAGTTATTTGGAAATAGCAGTGAAATAAACAGATCTTGGGGGCTAATACATAGTAGGTAAATGAACAACTGATATGGAAAGTATTAGTTAGTGATATGAGATACAGAAAGTTTATTAACATGAATAGAAAGCAATGAAATGTAGGGAGTGTGGGTACTGCATTTTACATCTGTCACCCAGTCTCTCACATTGGGATAGAAGCCCAAAGGTATAACAGGGAGCGTAGGAGGCAGCAGATCACATTGCACATGCAGCCAGGAAGCAGAGAGCAATGGATGACTGTGCTCATCCTACTTTCTCCTTTTTATCCAGTCCAGGACCCCAGCCATGGAAGGTGCTGCCCACATTTTAGGGTGGGCCTTCTTGTATCAGTTAATGTAGTCTAGACAATGCCTCACAGATATGCCCAGAGGTTTGTGTCCATGGTGATTCTAATGTCCTTCAAATTGACAGACAAGATTAATGATCCCACAGAGGAAGCCAGAGAAGCGGAGGAAAGTATCCCTTTTCTTTTTCTTTGTAATTTATAGAATGTTAACTAGTACAGTTTCTGAATCACGACCAAACTAAGAACTTACATGGGTCCAGCAAACCTGTTGGTCGTCAAAAGTAGATGTGCCAAACCACTCACGGTCGATGAGCCTTAATTCCTTATTGGTTAGTATGGAAGACTGAATATGGATGCCCCAAATGGACTTGAAGACTTTGTGGGGAGGCAGACACTGTTGGAACTCCCTCTATCTATCCTCTCCTAATCTAAAGCCTGCTCCTTTGGTCAGGAGATTGATTATATATTATCAGAGCCCGATATTTTCCTCTTGAAATGCCTTCAGTTCCATAAAGCTTGGATTTATTACTTCTTTTCCTGAATGGTTTAGATTGGACGACTGATTATTGGCCAGAATGGCATCTTGTCAACACCTGCGGTTTCCTGCATCATCAGGAAGATCAAGGCAGCTGGTGGAATCATCCTAACAGCCAGCCACTGTCCTGGAGGACCAGGGGGAGAGTTTGGAGTAAAGTTTAATGTTGCCAATGGAGGTATGAAGCTTCAAATATGTCTTTTCTGATTTTTTTCTCATGCTTTATCATACTCTTTGGAGACAGGAAGGCAAAGTGGAAAGGAATTGGCTCAGAAAAGTCCAGTGAGGTCTCCAAGGTGATGCAATATGGGAATACCATACAGGCCCTCAGATCTCCTGGGCTGGTCTCTTGATCTGCAAACCTCAGCCCAGTGAAAATCCTGGATAGCCGATGCTTATCTGATATGGAGAACTCTGGATTTTACAGTTAGAACATACCCTGGAGGCCATTTAAACCATTCCTCTCACTCTTCAGATGAACCAGTTCAAGTCCTGGAAGACAAGTTGTTGCTGAAAGTCACAAAATTGCTCAGAGGCAGACAAATGATATTTAGCCTAAGTCCTGTGCTCAGTGTAGACCTTTTCTCAATAAAATTTATAGAACTTAATTTGTTCTTAGATTTATAGAAATTTATGATTTGAAGGTCCTAGTGAACAGTGAGATGAATTCCTTTAAAAGCTGGATGTATATAAAATCAGGGAGACCAGTAAATGGACTACAGGTATCCATTACTATGGTTTTCATTTTGCTAATCATTTTTCTTCTGGAGGTATTTTTAGCATGAAGACATTTCATACCTAAATATTTTTGTATTAATATCTTAAGAAGAAAGACATTCATGTACAACTATAGTGACATGCTATATTACTTACTTCTTGTGACTAAACACCTGACAGGAAGGAACTTAAGGAAAGAAGGGTTTATTTTGGCTCACAGTTTGAGAGTATACAGTCCACATGGAAGATAAGACATGGAGGTGGGAATACGAGGCCTCTGATCACTGGTGGTGATCAGTGGGCTTCTCTGTGTTTCCTGATTTATTCAGTCTGGGGCCCCAGCCCATAGAACGGTATCACTCACATTCAGGTGGGCTTTTCATCTACAATTAAACCTCTCTGGAAACACCCTCACACACATGCTCAGAGGTGTGTCCCCTAGGTGATTCCAAATCCAGTCAAGTTGACAATGAAGATTAGCCATCACACATACATAACAAAAATAACGCTAATCTTCTAGTATCATCTGAAACCTAATCTCTAGTCATGTTTCCTAGTGATCTTCAAAATGTTATTTGTAGCCCTTTTATTCAAACAAATGTGCATCTCAGAACTATGCATTTGTTTGCTATGACTCTTCAATCTCTTTTAATCTAGAACATTAAATCTGAGGGTATAAACTGAATTTTAATAAAAAACCAGTTATGATTATGAATTATTCCTGGCCCCAGGCAAAATGACACATTGTAAAGGAGAATTTATTGTTTTTCCTTCTTTCAGCCATTTTCCTCATTATCTAAACAGTAAACTATCTGGTAAACACACACACACACACACACATACATACTCTGTAACTCTGAGGAAGACTACAGCAAACCCACACATAAGAAAGGAATCAAAGCTGTTTAGGACTATAGAAAATTCCCCCAGGCCACAAAGGTAGACACAGAGTGGAAGAAAAGAACAAAAGTCTATAAACAACCAGAAAACAATTAACAAAGTGTTGGGAGTAAATCTTTACCTATGAGTAATAACCCAGAATGTAAATGGACTAATGTCTCCTGTTAAAATATGCAGAGTGGCTAAATGAGTAAAAAGAAGAGCCAACTCTATGCTGCTTGCAATTGACCCTTTTGTAGCTTTAAGAACACATACAGGCTGAAAGTGAAAGGTGGACAAAGATATTTCTTAAAAATAGTAACCAAAGGAAAGTAATGGTGGTAATACTTAGATGAAATAGAACTCAAGTCAAAAAGGTATTGCAAGGTAAAAAGAAGGTCATTATGTTGTGAGAAAGGTATCAGCTCACTAAGAGGCCATAGCAACTATAAATATATGTGTACTCAACACTGAGGCACCTAGATATATGAAGCAAATCTTAATGGAAATGAAAGATGTCCGTATAACAATAGTAGGGGTCTTCAGTATCCCATTTTCAATAATGGATAGATCGACAAGACAGAAAAGCAACAGAAAGTGACACATTAAAGCTGTACTTTGGACCAAATGGAGCTTGAAGCTATGAGTAGGTCATGCTGTGCATTCTTCTCCAGCATGCATGGAGCATTCTCTAGACAAACCATATTTTAGGCAATAAAATCAAATTCTAGGATCATATGGCATATCGTCTTATATGCACTAGGATGGCTATTGTAAAAATAACAAGAGATAAATGTTTGGGGGATAGGGAGGAAGAGAAACAAGCATAGCTGGTGAGAATGTAGAATGGTACAGCCCTTAAGAAAAGTAGCACGGAGGAGCCTAAAGAATTTGGAAAAATGAGCAAACTGTCCTTCTGGTTCTATATGCAAAGATGTTGGGTCACTAAACTGCAAAGAAATCTATACTATCAGCTAATTATGGCACTGTCTCCAGTAGCCATATAGACACAACCTAAGTGTCTATTAACAAATGAGTGGTTAATCAAATTGGGATCCACACGAGTTGAGAAATTATTCAGCTTTTAAAAAGAATATCCTGCCATTTGTCACAGCATGGATAGACTTGGAGGACATTATACTAATGAGCCATGAGTTTGTTTACTTATGGAATACAAAATCACTAGCAATATAGAGATAGATAGCGAAGCAGCACTTACCATGGCTGGTGGGCACGTAGGGGTGAAAATGGGGAAATAGAGGTCAGAGGACTCAAAGAAGTAGAAATGTTGGATGAACAAGTCTAGAGACCAATACAGAATGAGGGTACTGATAATTAAATTTTATTGTATTAGGGTGTTTTTTAGATCTCACTTTTCCCACAGAAACTACTTATAATTGATGTTAATTTGCTCTACCATAGTAACCAATTTCTTGTGTGTGTGTGTGTGTGTGTGTGTGTGTGTGTGTGTGTACATGCATGTGTGTGCATGTGGTGGCCAGAGGCCAACCTGAGGTGTCATTTTTCAGGTGATGCCCCTTTTTTTGAGACAAGATCTTTTCCTGGCATAGAACATGCCACATAGACTAGGTTGGCCTGCCAGGGACTCCATGGGCTCCGCCTGTCTCTGCCTCCCCAGTGCTAGGATTTCAAGTATGAATCACTATATCAGCTTTAATTTTTCTGATTCTCTTTACATGGGTTCTGGGTTATAACCAAGGTCCTCATGCTCGGAAGGCAAGCACTTTACCAGCTGAGCTCTCTGCCCAGCCCTCATTTTATTTGTGTATGTATCTCCTAAAGTCATGCTGTAAGCCTTAACTATATATAATAAAATTCATTTACAAGACAAAACCAAATAAAAATACTATATAAGTGCCCCATTCTGAAAACCAGTGGAGAACAGTGCTGTCTCACTCAATAAAGCTTCTCTGTGACCTACATCTCATGCTACAGTAACTTCTGAGGATTTCATATCAACTATGCAGTTGCCAAGACTTTCATAGACTGGTAACACCAGAAACCAGAGTCAGAAAATGGTATTTTGTAGAGAAACACAATATATATGTTGCCAGATGAAATAATGAATTTCAAGGAGACATTTGAAATTAGCTCCTGATTCCATATCTTATAACAATCTCAGCTATCTTTATTATATCCTGAGAGGCATGAGGGAGAAAAGTATGATTTGTGTATTAGTCCAATTCTGTTGCTGTATCAGAACACCCAAGACTGGGTGATATATAAAGAAAATAGGTTTGTTTAGCTCACAGTTTTGAAAGGCAAACATGTAGACCAGTCTTGTTTGGCCTCTGGTGAGGGCCTTTCTGACTACATCAAAAGATGGTGGATGACATGGAGGGGTACATGGAAGAGGAAGAGACAGTCACATAGTGACACAGGAAGACAAAGGAACTCAGGGACCAAGAGTACTTTTTTATTTATTTATTTATTTATTTATTTATTTATATTTTATATGTATGCATGTATTGCCTGTAGGTAAGTGCACCCATATCTTGCAATACCCGTCGCCTGCCTCTGCCTCCCGAGTGCTGGGATTAAAGGTGTGTGCCACCACACCTGACTAAGTACTTTTTATTTTTATTATTTATTTATTTACTTATTTATCAATTATCGATCTGTCTTAGAACTGCTCTTTTTATAACAGTGTGCTCTTCTGGGTAATAACCAAATAACTACGTTTATCTCTTTTTAGAGTGGTACTCCCACTGTTCTAACCACTTTCTGCAGGTTTAAGGTTGTTCCATATCAACACCATCATAGTGGGGACCAAAGTGAGCCTTTTATGGACACAAACTATATCCAAGCCAAAGCAATTTATATACCCACTTGTAGATGAAATTTCAGGTTATGCCTTGGATGGGGGGTATGGTTGTACTCATCACTGAGCCTTTACTTAGGTTGAAAATCCTTCTAACATTTAATTCTTCATGTTTGCAAGTCGTCATGTTGTTCAGAGCATTAACATTCCTAATAGCATGGGGCGATCCAGTTGGTTTCTTCCTATCTAAAGTCGAGTGTGTTTCAATGCAATATCCTGCCAAAGTCACTGGCATCTATTTCTTCTGATGGCATTAAACAGATACACCTTGTATATAAAAGTTGGCCTTAGTATTAGTAGGCACAGGGAAATGGGACACATTTGGAATCAAGTTGCTTTTAAAGTATATTTTGAGGCCAGGACTATTCTGAATATATTTTTCAGCACATGAGAAGATGAAAGCATTGAGGAATGGAAAGTAGTAAAAATACTAACTTTTAGTCCCATAAAAGGCTGGTCACACGCACAGTACTTGTCATACATTGTCCCTTTGAATTCTCATAACAAACTGATGAGGTGACCGAGGAGTGAGATGATTAGAAAACTTGACCAGGAGAGAAGACTCAGTTCAGAGCACAAACGAATGAACAAGTAAGCCCTGAGTTAAGATACACATGTTAAAAAAGAGGAGAAAGCCAAGAGAAAACCAATGGAGCCATTTGTGCTCAATTATTTTGAAATATTTGTCTTCTTTGCTGTTGTCAGCTTGATCTGAGGAAATGTATCAAGTATTTTTAGTTATCCTTCATTTTAAAAACTAAGTTGTGATAGAGATCATGAATTGGGAAGAATAACTAATTCACCTGAATAAGCTCACATATCAACTAGATAGCCGAGTTGGGATTAAAAATCGTTTATTTTTCTTAGGTGCATTTGGGAAGCTGGTTTAAATATGGAATCTCTCACTGCTGTCAAAAGCATATCCTGTTTGTGCATCATATCCTGAATAAAGCTGATTATATAACCGGGTCTCCCTAGCAGGTGTGAAACTATTTTTAGGGTGTATGTATCATTGCTTAGTAGTAGATTAAAACAAACAAACATGTGAGTTAGTCTACACAACAGAGGAGTATGATCAAATTTCTTCTGCAGTGAATGAATGCAGCTTGTAAAATACTCAGGCTGACTGAACTGTGAATCTTTGTTCATTGTTTAGAGGCCAAATGAATATCTCCTGTCTGGTGCAGGAGACTAGTAATGTTTCTCTGACTGAAATTCTTGACTTTAAAATAAATATATATTGGGTGTCAAATTTTAGGTCCTGCCCCAGATGTTGTTTCAGACAAAATCTATCAGATCAGCAAAACAATTGAGGAATACGCCATATGTCCTGATCTTCGAATTGACCTATCTCGGCTAGGAAGACAAGAATTTGACCTGGAGAACAAGTTCAAACCATTTAGAGGTAACAGAGTGCACATATTTTGAAGAAGTCAGAAAAAATGTCATGGATGGGGCTGTTTTCCAAGTGGGGTGAAGATGCTAGAATCTAGGATTGCATGGATTGGGAGTGGGGTTGCCCTGGTTGGTGATCAGTGTTTTCTGTACAGGAGTATATGCATAAAAATTACTGAATTACCCACTGGATAACCAGGTGGAAATTGTATGTGATACAGAGAAAATTAGAGCAGCCATGACATTTAGATATGAACTATGAAATTCTGTATCATTTTCAGTACTGGAAAATTTGTGTGGTTGACTCCATTATAGCATACGCAAAGTAGACTGTGAATTGCCAAAACTTGTCTTTGAATGATTTCTAAGGAATTAGGGTGAAGATGCTGGAATACCTTAGTTAGGAAGAGAGCTAACAAGACAATGGGCTACTAAACTTCCTGTGGGAGGAGTTTCTCTGCCAAGCCAGAACCATGTAGTTTACCATACTTTATGTGCAATGATTGATCACCTGCTTTATAAGCAAGCACTGTGTTAGGAGACTTTACAAGGGAATTCAGTAGCTACCAAATATATTTAAGCAAGTGGTTAAAGAATTAAAGAGCCATGCCTGGCCTTGTGGCACAAAACTCAGTCAGCACTTGGGAGACTAAAGAAAGCAGATTGTAAGTTGGAAGCCAGCCAGGCTACATAGAGGGAACTTGTCTCAGAAAAATAAAAGAACTAGAGTGAGTTTGACAAATATTATCTTATACTGTAGAGGGACTACAATGTCTGAAGAACTATGAACACAGTTTATTATTTTACAGATTAATTTTGAATCATATAACAACATTAGTACCCTGTGTGTACCTCATCCCACTTTATCCAGTTATGATTTTATAGAAGGCCTTTAGGTAAAAATAGATTTAACACGTTTTACACTTTTATTGCCTCAATAAAATTGAATATAGTTTGTGTCACAATATTGTCTTTATTTTACAAGTAATTTAATTTTACTAAAAAGATGAATTATTATGGACACACAATTTTTAAAATATAATATATATATATATATTTTGTGTTGTTTTGTTTTTTGAGACAGGGTCTCCCTGTGTCCCAGCTGGCCTGGAGCTCACTATGTAGACCAGGCTTGCCTTGAACTCATAGAGATCTGCCTGCCTCTGCCTCTCAAGTGCTGGGACTACAGATGTGTGCCACCATGCCCGGCTAAAAATATAATATTTTTATTAATTTTTTGAGAATTTCATACATGTGTACAATGCATTTTGATCATATTCACTCACCACTCCTCCCCCCAATTAGCTTTGCCAATTCACCTCACACCCTTGCACACTCACACCCTCCCAACTTCCTGTTCTCTTGGGCACATGATTTTTTTAAGGTCAGAGAAAAGCTTAAAATGGACTTTGTAAAGGTCACAGTACTGAGCTACTGATACCAAGTCTTTCTTGAAAAGTTTTTTATCTAATTTATTTTTATTCTATGTGTATGAGTGTATTCTGCATGTATATAAGTGCACCAGTGTTACATAATGCCCTCAAAGGCCAGAAGAGGGTGTTGGATCCCCTGGAACTGGAGTTAGGAACGGTTGCTAGCTGCCGTGTGTGTCTTCTGCCAAGAGCAGCTAGTGCTCTAAACTGCGGAGCCATCTTTCCAGCCCCTTTCTTGAAAAGTTTTGAGTTGATTTTTTTTTCTCAGTGAGCAGACATTTACTGAAATCTCATGACACTCACTAGAAGCAACAGTGCCCATTTATCAAAAAGAATATATTTTATTTATTCTTTGACAATTTCATACATGTAAACAATATCTTGATCACATACACCTACAACTACTGCCTCGTACTCACACCCCAACATATCTGTCCACCTCTCCCCTTCATGTCCTTTCCTCTTTTTTTTTTTTTTTGGTAAACCACTGAGCCCAATTAGTGCTGTCTGTTGGAATGCTGAGTGATCTTGTTGGCTTGGTCTTCTGCAGGCTTTGTCAGGTAACCATAGCTGCAGTGAGTTCATGAGTTCAATGGTCATGTCATGTCCAGAAGACATCATTTCACAGCACTCCTCCTCATCCTTCAGCTCTTACATTTTTTCTGGCCCCTTTTCCCAAATGTTCCCTGAGCCTTGGTGGGGGTGCTGATAAAGATACCCATTTAGGACTGAGCACTCAATAGTCACTTATTCTCAGCATTTGACCAGTTATGAGTCTCTACAGAAACTGTTCACTGCTGCAAAGAGAAACTCCTCCAGTCAAGATTGAAAACAGCACTAATCTATGAATACAAAAATAAATATTTAGGGGCTGGAGAGCTGGCTCAGCGGTTAAGAACACTGACTGTTCTTGCAGAGGACCCGGGTTCAAATCCCAGCACATACATGGCAGCTAACAACTATAACTCCAGTTACAGGGTAGCCAACAGCCTCTTCTGTTCTCCGTGGGCATTGCATGACACGGGTGCACTTACCTACATGTAGGCATAACATTCATACACATAAAATAAAAATATTAAATAAAATATTTTTAAAAAATAAAAAATAAATATTTAGAAAGCAGTATGGGCTGGAGAGATGGCTCAGCCGTTTAGAACACTGGCTGCTCTTGCAGAGGACCTGGGTTTGATTCCTAGCACCCACATGGCAACCAACAACCATCTGTAGTTTTAGTTCCAGGGCATCGAACACCTTCCTCTGACCTCTGTGGGCACTCCATGACATGGGTACACTTACGTACATGCAGGCAGTACACCCATACACATGAAATAAAAAATAAGAAAACACATTTTTTTTTTTTAAAGAAAGCAGTGTGATTGCATGTCCATTTAGCAAGACAAAGGCAGCAGGTTTCCCCCAGGGCCTATGACCTCCTGAACCAGGAGGCATTTAACCAGGTTTACAGTACTAGGCATGAATTCCTTCCTGTAGTGCAAGCCTCAAATCCAATCCAAAAGTGATTGTTTATCCCCATAACCTTCATGCCACTATTGTATCAGTGATCAGTGCCTTCTTTTATTAATCTAGTTAATTAGTTAGTCTAGGGCACTCACATGTGCATATGTACACACGTGGGCTATCTAGACAACTGCATACAACTGCAACTGTATTGTATTTAACAAAGTAATTTAAACATGCTTGACTACATATGTTTAGAAGAATTGGGCTATAAAATGAATGAGAAATATCAAGCATTGCCATCAAGAAGAAATTGCCTGTATCTTATTTATTTTTGGTATCCTTATAATTTTTATAGTTTCCAAGAGACTTGACTCTGGTGAGCTCAGTTTCAGACTCATTGCTGTAGTTACATTGCTCATGGGTTAGCTTCTCTAAACTTCTGGTGATAGCCTGGAGGTAGGGGAGGGTTTCCTGGCTCCCCAAAATGTTTTGGAGATAGTCATTTGAGATAATTTATGTGCTCTGTCCTTGCTCTTTTGGGTGATGAGCAATGCCCGAGTTAACTGAAAGCAAATAGTCCTTGGTGTCTCACCTTAAAGTGTCAAAAAGCATGAGCTAGGCATCTTTTTGTTTTCCTGGACTTCATACTTCCTTGCTTTTCATACTTGTGTTTGAAGTATGGGTCATCTGTTGTGAATACCAAATGTCTTTAGGCAAATGGTTCAAGAATTGAAGGACTGGAATGAAATTCCCAAAAAGTATCTTATGTTATAGAGTACGTAAAACTTCTAAAGCATTTAGGGCACAAGATTAACCATTTTAGAGGCACAGTTCATGTGAAATATTATAAAATTATTTTCTTAATTAATATTCTCATTTCAGAAGATAATTAAAAATAGTCCACACGCCTAAAAAGCAATTAAATTTGATGGGACTGGAGAGATGACTCAGCAGTTAAGAGCACTGGCTGCTCCTGCAGAGGACCTGGATTTGATTTCCAGCACCCACATGGTGGCTAACAACTGTCCCTAACTCCAGTTCCAGAAAATCCAACGCCTTCTTCTGACCTCTGCAGGCATTGCATGACACAGGTGCACTTGCATACATGCAGGCAATACACTCATACACATAAAAATAACAGAATATTTTAAAAAGCAATTAAATTTATTTGAATGGATATTCATATATTAATTTAAATATAAGGAAAGTATTTTGAGATGTGTATTTGGCCAGATGAAGGCATAATTTTATGTCATATATTAAATTATATATCTTGATGTATTAAAAATTATTGAAGGGTATTTGGTAGTCTCTTTAACGTAGGCTTAAGTATTTTAGTACTTTAAAGTAATGAAATTGAAAAACAAGATATATAAGTTTAAACATTTGACTACACATTTAAAAAGTAGGGTTTTATTCCTGTATAAAATTTTAGTTCTCCAAACTCATATATTTACTACTTCTAGGAGAAGTACTTTCTGAGCATTAATTATGTACTGATCGATGTTTGAAACATGTGATGTGTTCTGAGTTTTCATATATTAAATAAATGGCAAAGACTTCTTTGGGATTCTTGGTCACTGGTGGTGTCACACCCTGGAGAGCACTTGTATTTACTGAGGATTTTCAGATATTTGACATTCACCTGGTAATTAGGTACTAAACTGGACGTGAAGAGAGTTAATGCAAACTCAGGAATCCAGCATGCATCACTAACTCTGTACTTAGATTGAGTGGGCACGATGACATTTGGAAAGCCGGGGCCACTGCTGTGGTCACTCCTTCATGTGTTTCACACCAACTGAGTCATTCTTTGGCCAATTCCACAGGAAGGACAACCTGATATGCAGGATGCTTGATAGCCTTGGCACGTGTGCATCTCAGGGAGAAGTGTTGGAGAGGTGTGGGAGAGGTGACAGTGTTCGCATCTTTAAATTATTCTTATGGTCAATTTTCACCCGCAAAAAGAATTTATTATGGTATTATTTGCATCTGTTACTTGTCTGAAAAGTTTGCTGCATTTTGGTTGTGCCTTGCCCAGGTAGCATGCAGGTTATGATGAGAATTTGATTAGAATTTCATGTCACTAGGGTAGTAATTCTTTACTGTGCTTCTAAGTCTCTTTTTTGGGTGTGGTCACTGACATCCTCCTTTGTTTTCCCATTATCAGTGGAGATTGTGGACCCTGTAGATATTTACCTCAACCTCCTTCGGACCATCTTTGACTTTAATGCCATCAAGAGTTTGCTGACTGGGCCCAGCCAGCTGAAGATCCGAGTTGATGCCATGCATGGAGGTGAGCTTGTGTTTTTCTACAAACAGTGACTGAGAAGTCTTGAGGAGACTTCTACATGTTCAGATATATGGAATGCTCTAGAAAACTCCAGGACTCTGATGTCTTTCTTTTGGTGTAAACGCAAACAAAAACTGAACAAATGAATTTGAGGTTATGCCTGTGAGAGTGTAAAGTAGATTAAAACTACTTATTTATTGACTTTTGATATATATTATATTCCATAATTTAAATAGCTGAATAAGATTTAACTTAAAAATAAAATCTATTCCTAGCTCCTTTCTTCTTTCAATGTTCTACTCTCCAGCATCAACCCTTTTCAGTTCCTTTAGTGATTTCTTTTGGTATTTATCTCCCTGCATGAATGCACAATTTTTTTGACTTTCCCTTTTTGATTACCAGCTTCTTACAGGACGCTTAGAGTCAACTCCCTTCTCAATCACCAGCCCCTGGCACCCACTCACCTTTCTCATACTTTTATAGTTTTACCTTTTTCAGAAAGCCATATAAATTTCATAGAATGAAATTTGTAGTCTGTTTCTTCAATTTTCATTCGGTATACTGTTTTTTTAAAAAGGTATATTCATGGCATATACATTTCTACTTGTCCTTTGTTACTATTGAGTAGTATTCCATCATATCCCTATACCACAGTTTGTTTATACATTTGCTGGTTGATAGAAATTAGCTTCTTCTCCTTCAGTTTGGCTATTACAAATAAAGGTACTAATAATATTTACAAAGATACATGTTATGGGAACAGGTGTTTCTATTTGTTTTGGATACAGTCTTAGAAGTGGGATTGCAGAATCAGATGATAAGAACATGCTGAACTACATAACAAACTCAATGGTTTTCCAAAGTAGCTGTTCCATTTATACCACCTGAAATGAGGACGATTTCAGTTTCTCTGTGTTCCTACCAATTCTTGGCGGTGTTAGTCTTTTCCGTTTCAGCCATTCTGCCCCGTCTTGTCCAACTTTCTTACACTTTACTGTGCTCTACTGTACTTCTCTGTGTATAAGCTCTAATTCTTGAAGAATTCTCTTTTCTGTTTGTTTTGACTCATAATTAGTACATTTCTCAAAATGTTGGTGTTCCTTGACTGCCTACCATTTTCAATGTTGCTTGAGACTTCTGAGCACATCGTGGGTCTGAATCTACCTGGGCTTTACTCTGAGGGCTTGTGGCTAGGATGTTTTGTTCTTTCCTATTAAGCTGATCATATTCTCCAGGAAAAGCTCTTTCAAGTTCTTAGCATTATCTGGCCCAGGGAAAAGACAGCTTCTCTTTGTGAAGAGTTTGAGCTGTTTTTGTATTTGCACTTGGCTTGCGCTGTAAACCCATCTCTGAATCATTCACACTGGCTGAGAATTGGAGGATTGGTCACCTCCCTAGCCTTTGGGGTGGTGGGATTTAGTTGTATCCCAATTTTAGGGACTGAGATGGAAAAGGACATGATTTTTCCAAACACAAGTGCTGCTACTAGAGGAGGGGACATGGGTACTGGGCAGGGAAAATGAAGAGATGTTTGCTGTTTGAGAACTATATTGTGCTGGGGGCAAACAAAGGACAGCCACCTAACATACATTTCAGTTAAGAGGAGGACATGATAGTCCCCAAATTTGTCTGGGTTCTATCTCAGGCTCTCTTCCTTTACTTACAATGTCTTCCACTTGTATGGTTCCCTCCTACCACTCCCCTCTCAAATTTATATTCTTCTTTCATGTTCTCCTCACCTACGATCACAGTTAGCCAAGTCACTGGATCTAATTATTTCATGAGCATAAATCAGATGACACCTCTCTTTCAGTCCTGAGAGGTCTCACTATGGTCATTGTTCTCTAAGTCACTGGGTCTAATTATTTCGTGGGCATACATCTGATGACACCTCTCTTTTGGGCTTACCTCTCTACTCATCTGTGGATTTGACTTGTCCCACTATTACATAAGGGCCCAGGAATATAAGAACAATGCTACTTGCATCTTTTCAATAGAATCCTTTCAGTTTTTAAAATGAGTGTTCGATGTTAGGCATCCTATTCCATGGAGCTGAAAAATATGATTGATTAGCATTTATTTTGCAAAATGTGCTTAATTTTATATGAAGCTTCAGGAGTTTTCAGTGTTTGGATTTGGCAATGTCCAAACAATTGCATAAAGAGAATTGCTAGAACCCTTTAGTGCGTTTGCACATGTTCAGTTTAAAGTGCCTAATACATAAAATCATCAGTTAATAAATCGTAATTATATAGTTGATATTCTTAAAGCAATGTTTTAGAAAACCACAAGGAAAAAAATTCATCTAAGTGAATTATTGACATCTTTTGTTTAATAGAGTCCCTGGCAATCCCTTATAGTAGATGCAAAATAAATAGTAGTTGATATGAATATTATTTTATGTTGTGTCTTGAGAAAAGACTGTATGACTTACTCTTTTCTTCTGGGCTATTAAATGAACTTTGTTGTTCTCATCAGAACAAAATATCCAGGAACAAGGATCTTTCAAGTATTTTACATTATTGCCATTTTTTTTTTTTTTTAAGTTATGGGACCCTATGTGAGAAAAGTTCTGTGTGATGAACTGGGGGCCCCAGCCAATTCTGCCATAAACTGTGTTCCACTTGAAGACTTTGGAGGGCAGCATCCAGACCCAAACCTGACATATGCAACCACCCTTCTGGAAGCCATGAAAGGGGGAGAATATGGATTTGGAGCTGCATTTGATGCTGATGGGGTAAGCAGGAAGGGTCTAATTCTGCTGACCTTCTGATCATGTGATGGATGTATTACTGAATACCCCTGGAATGGACATGTATGGGTGTGGGGCTCTGTATGTGCTTTGCTGGTCAGTGGCTAGATACTGTAGGGAAACAGCACAGCTTTTCTTAGCTTCAGATTAACATATGTTATTAAGAAATCATTTCTTTGAAAAGCAGTCAGACAATAAATTTTCATTTATAGCTGGTTTTGTTGAAAGTTCCATGTTTAGCAACCAGCTATTTATCAGTAACTGCTTCTCTCTATTCTACTTGGGGGAGCAAGGAATTCAATCTGGAGGTCACTGAAGCCCAAAGTAGCTGTCCAACAGGTGGAACATGTTCTGGTTGTATCAAGATTCTGGGCCCCTGATATGGAGGGATTTATATGGTTTCCCATGCTCTCTTTGGCCTCATTCAAACTGTTTCAGGTTGCTTAAATGGCAGGAAAGTGGTTTGTGCTAATGATGGGAACTGGCTGTGAGCAGCAGATGCTTCTGCCTGATAATTTTCACACATTCCTTCCCACAGGACCGTTATATGATCCTTGGCCAAAATGGCTTCTTTGTGAGTCCATCTGATTCCCTGGCCATCATTGCTGCCAACCTCTCTTGCATTCCATATTTCCGTCAGATGGGGGTTCGAGGGTTTGGGAGAAGTATGCCAACCAGCACAGCCTTGGACAGGTAAGCAAGGACACCACTGTAAAGTGCCCTGTGGACCTCCTATGTAATGCCTTTGTGGGCAGCTGGCTCTCACTCTCCCTGTTCCCCAGGAGCTGGTTGATGCATGGGGACTTAGAGATACGGTGTGGCGTAGCAGTGTGAGGATGAGGTGGCCTGAGTTGGACTCCTCATTTTCATTTGATCTGTCTTATTTTTCTTCTCTGTAAAGTGGGGTACTGATGGTACCATCTGTCATGGATCATCATGAGGTAGAAATGAGATGATGGTTGCTATCCCCACAGGTGTTTGCCTGTTCCAGACTTCATGTAAGTGGAATCATGTACTATGCATTCCTTTATTGTTAATTATTTTTCATTTAATAGATATATTTGGTTCACACACACACACACATATATATATATTTAATTGGAGCATAGTAAATATTTTATAAATGTTTTGTAATATATCTTCCTAAATCTAAAGGTACATATACATTGAAATGAAGAGTATAGTTTGAGGTCAGCTTATACTGTGCACCTTATTAGAGGAGTGAAAACAGGGATGCTATGCCACAGGTTTGCTGTGAGAAGGAAATGGTGCATGGAGAACACCCCAGCAGGAGGTTCACTAAGGAGGAGCTCTAGAAACATTAGGTTTCTTCTTCCTAACCCCACTCAGCCCTGTTGTCTTTTGTCTTATAAAACAATCCATTTCAGAGCCATATTTAAACATATGTGTGTGTGTGTGTGTGTGTGTGTGTGTGTGTGTGTATTTTTCAGGACTAAGGCTCAACTCCAGGGTCTCAGATTCTAGGCACTCTACAACTGAGCTACATCCTCATTCTTGAATCTAATGTTTTCAAACAGCATATATTATTATAGGATCAGAGCATGCTCATTGCAGAAAGTTCACTGGGAAGGTGGGAATATCACACCTACTCCCTAGGTTACCTGTGCTAAGAGGAAAATTGATATTCTTTACTAGGTCTTGTTCTATGCATATATTGTATACATATAATCTAAATGTACAGATGATATACATAATGTACATATTGTGGTGGTTTGAATGAGAATGTCTCCCATAGGCTGTAAGTATTCAGATATTTTGTCCTCAGTTGATGGTGCTGTTTGGGGAGGTCTTAGAAGGTATAGTCATGCCTGAGTAAGCATGTCACTGGGGGTGGACTTAGAGAGTTCTTAAACCTTGTGGATTTCTTCTCACCCTCTGCTTCCTGTGCCTGCTTGAAGACGTAAATGCTTAGCTTCTGCTCTTACTCCAGCCACCTCTGCCACCATGCCTCCACACCATGATGGACTCCTGCCCCTTTGGAACCGTAAGCTAAATAAACTCTTCCTTTCATAAGTTCCCTTGGTCATGGTGTTTCTATCACAGCAACAGAACAGTAACCAATACAGACATTGGTACCGAGAGTGGGGTACGAACCCACACGGGCTCTATCACAGCAACAGAACAGTAACTAAGATACATATGTAATATCAAAAACATATCAGAAAGCTTATACTGCTGTAATCTACTGTTTCTTTTCCATTAATAGTCTTTGACTTTCTATTAATAACTTTTTATTTATCCTCTAAAACCAAAATCGATTTAGATTTCCCTTCAGCATCCCCAAAATGCTTTTAAGGTTTTCCCAAAGTAAGATCCCATCTAAGGCCTTACATTGCATCTGTTTATGTCCTTTAATCTTTTTTCACTAGCACAATCCTTGCCCTTTGACAGCGATGTTCATAGAGATCTGGTCAGTTGTCTTACTGAGTCCCACCTTCTAGATTGTGTCACTGTTTTCTGGTGATGTTATTCAATCATTCATGAAGTAAAATTTATATAGTGTGAAATACATAATTTTAAAAATTCAATTCAATGATTTTTTAAAAATGTATACATGCCTCCCTGAACAAGGGAACAGGTGACTCAATACAGTTACAGGACATTTTGAGAGATGCTCCATAGTGCCCTGGAACTTAGTCGACCTTGGAGGACAAGGAGCAAAAACGGTCCTTTAAGTCCCTCTGACCCGATTAGTATAGGCCTCAAAGTATGGCTGTTAAACATCCAAGAAGGTTAGTTCCACCAGTCTCGTGCTTTTAATCACCATGTGCTATGTAGATAAAGCTTGGGCAAAAACCAAATATTCTCAGATAAACCTTGATTAGATATATATTTTGTTCCTTAGACTAGTTCACTAAACTATGACCTTAGAAATTTTAAGATTATGTGTATATTATTTTTGTCTCATCCTTTATATATCATAGCAAACTTACATAGACCTTAATCACTTGCTTAGGCTTTCTTGTTTTTCCTGTCTATTTTGGGAAATATCTCCATTCCCATATCCTTTTAACATCTTTTACATTCTCATTTTCTTTTTTAATATTTATGAGCCATAATAACATTAACAAATAAATTTACCATCTGTTGTGAGAATTCTTTTCCTGGGGATACTAAGCAGTGTTTATCCCCTTCTAAGGTTCTAGCGTCAAACCAATGTTTGATTAAAGTTCCTGGGGAACCAATGAATTTACTGAGCTTACTTACAGAGATGCCTGAGGGTTTGCTGAGGTGTATGAGTGAACTGAGGGTATGCACACTGGAAAGCCTGAAGATGGGTGTAGAATATTCCCATGACTCCCCAAATTTTCCTGTACTTCTTTCAGTCCTTGCTATAATTTTTGTCATGATAGAGGAGGCTTCCCTGTTTTAAAGATCACATAAGTAGAATCCTATGCCGTGTAGTACTTTGTTGATAACTTTCTTTGTTTAGTATGCAGGTGTTTTGATTCATCTACATCACTGGACGTGTCAGGAATTTTTCTTACTGTGTAGCACATTAATATATAAGAATATCACCATTTGTTTTTCCCACTCCCTGTTGATAGACATTTGAGCTCTTTCTAACTGTAGAGCCAGTGAGCCTCAGGAGTCCTCATGTCTCTGCTTCTCCAGGGTTGGCATTACAAGTATGCGACCACATCCAGCTTTTTAATGTGAATGCTGGGGATTGAACTCAAGTCCCTGTGCTTACAAGACAAGCACTTTTCTGACTGAGCTGTCTCCCCAGCCCCAGCTTTTCTCTTTTTCATGTTAGTGTTTTTTGGTGGACAGAAGTTCTAAATTTTTATGAAATATAGTTCATTACTCTTTTCTTATACTTAACTCATTCTACTGTTACTATATATGCTCTGTCTTCTATGAGCAGTACTTACTCTACAGTCAGAAATATATATTCCTCATGTTTCCTTTCAAATAGCTGCACTTCTAAAACCGATTTTTAGTTTATTTTTATGTGTTGTGGGAAATAATAATTGAGGCCCATTTATTTCCCCATGTTCAGTTGCTCCAAACCTATTAATCGATGGAATTTTCTTTCCCCCAAATAGTACTGATTTCTTTGTTAAAAATTGGTTGAGGGCTGGAGAGATGGCTCAGCGGTTAAGAACACTGGTTGCTCTTGCAGAAGACCTGGGTTCGAATCCTAGCACCCACATGGCACCCACATACAACTGTCTGTAACTCCAGTCCTAGGGGGTCCGATGGCCTCTTCTGACCTCCGTTGGCATTGCATGACAGGTGCACCTACCTACATGCAGGCAACACAAGCATACACATAAAATAAAAATAATAAATAAAAAAAAACTGGTTGGACAGAAATATGTGGGTCTATTTCAGAAATCTTTATCCTGTTCATTTTGCTGATTCTTATGAAAATATTACAGTGAAATTGGATGAGTTCTCCAGTAGTGTTTTTTTCTTTGTCAAATGCATACATAGATAATTCCTAGGTTTTCTCCATTTTTATACACATTTTTATTATTATTTATTTATTTATTTATTGTTTGTTTGTTTGTTTGTCTTTTTGAGACGGGGTTTCCCTATATCTCCAGCTGGCCTGGAATTTACTATATAGACTAGACTGGTCTCTATCTCATAGAGATATGCCTGCCTATGCCTCCTGAGTGCTGGACTAAAAGCATGTGCCACCACATCTGGCTTCTATTTATACTTTAGAATTGATGCATCAGTTCATACCAGAGCCTGTTGTGATCTTGACTGAGATTGTGTTCAATCTATAGGGCCATTATCAATTTTATTAATAGCGAATCTTCCAATCCAGAAATGTGGTATATATTACTAAATAGGTTTTCTTCTATTTATCTTACATATAATTTAGTACAGATGTCTCAAAATTTTTATTAACTTTATTTCTATTTCTATATTTTGATCCTGATGTAAATGGAGTTGTTTCTTTTAAATAATTTTTTGTTTTTTAAAAAATTATTTTTATTTATATGTGTTTGCAATGTTTGTGCTGGTACCTGTGGAGGCCAGAAGAGGGTTTTTGGATCCTCTGGAGCCAGAGTTACAGGCAGTTGTGAGCTATCTAATGTGGGTGCTGGTTATTCAACCTGGGCCCTCTAGAAGAGCATTAAGTCCCATTAACTACTGAATCATCTCTCCAGCCCCTGGAGTAGTTTTATATGTATAATTTTCCAATTGTTTACTGAGAATAATTAGAGATGTAGTTGGTTTTTATTAAGTGACCTTGTATTCATCCACCAGAAGGGAGGAGAATCACTTTTCTGGATGTCTCTCACTTCACTTCTCCAGCTGTTATTGACATCAAGTTCATGATAAGCTGTTTAAAATTCTTATCTAGTAGCACCAAAGAGTAGGGTGATTCCATTCACCTTTGCTTACAAGAAAAAAGAAACAAACCCGAAGCAAAGATAGACTATCTGTAGAATCTGAGAACTTGGAGCTGGATAGGATCCTGGGTGCTATGCAGGTCATTTTTTAAAGATTTTTTTATTTTATGTGTATGAGTGTTTTGCCTGCATGTATGCATGTATACTACATGCGTGCAAGGCCCATAGTGGTCAGAATTGGGTATCGGATCCCCTGGAATGGGAGTTACAGGCAGCTGATAGCTGCCATGTAGGTGATGGGAACTGTACCCAGGTCCTCTGCAAGAGCAGCGAGTGCTCTTAACCACTGATCCATCT